TATGACGTCTGAGTGCATCAACGCCTATGACAGGCCTCTCTCTCTCTCTCTCTCTCTCTCTCTCTCCCTCAATCAATCAATCAAGGCATAATGATGATTAAGGCTACAATATTTGCAATACTGGAAATGGTTGAAGTTTTGCAGCTTTTATATGATAGGAAACTCATGCCTACTGCAAGTTGTTTTTTTTTTTTCTACTGCCGCGCACGGACTTACATTGAAAGTATTTCAAACCTGTACCCCCAGTTTCACTGTTAAAAATGTCCTCGTAAATTAAAAATATTTTTTCAAATAATATTTCCAAAATATGTTGTAGTTTAACGACAGGCCGTTCTTGTTCCTCGATGAATTCCAAATTAATATCAAGTCAACACGTAGTGCTTGTAATTTTACCATTTTGAGTTAGTTTTACGACAAACCTCATGGAAAATTTCCCCGTAACACCCATAACAACCATTTTTTCACAGTTTTGTCGGCGGCTCCGCACCAGTCTAGTTATTGGGTATGTTTCATTTCGGCGCGCACGCAGGCCTGGCGTTCATATTGGCTTTTGTGTGTCGAGCGATAAGAGAGGAACAGAAATGGGCAGAGAGGTTGCAAGTGACAAAGCCCGCTGGAATCATGCCGTGCCAGCCACAGCCACTACAGGGAGGCCCGCTGTTACAGGAGGGGACAATCAGAGACATATGAAAAATAATAATAAAGTCCGCTCCCAGCTGCCGAAATAAAGGACACACTCGTAACTTTTTATTTGTCACCGGGCTCGTGGGTCAGTTGAGGCATTAATAGAAAAGCGATCTATGTCAACTGGGACGACTGCCATCACCACAACGACCCAACAGCTCCACACAAAAATTACTATGATTTCACTTCTTTAGACGGAGTACATTTGCCTACCAGTATATTACATTCAAAAGGAAAAAAAGCAAACACCGACACCACTTTTAGATAGAGACTCTAAACGCGCTTCGCTCGTTTCATTTCAGATGGACTATCTCGTCGGTAGCGTGCCCTCCGGCGTCCTCTGGTGCGCCTTGTCCTCGGCCTCGCAGCCCTACCGCACCCCTCCCAGCCCGGGCAGCGCCGGCCGGTCGATCTATCTTTAGCACCATTTAGCTTGCTTCGCTTCCTATGCATGTTTTGAACCCCGTTTGGCTCATCCAAATGGTCGCCAAATGAGTGGAGGCGTGTTGGGGCTGCGAGAGCCCAGCCCGCCGGGTGTCACTAGCGAGCCGTAAAGTTCGTTGCTCTCTTCTCGAGCTTTGACCTACATCCCGTGAGTGTGCGGATAGGGCAGGAGGGGAGAGACGGAGTAGGAATCCTACGACGTGAGAGGGTTTTGCCCCGGGCTTCTGAGTAATTTGTTCTTGTAGGCCTACTTCTGGAGAATACATTCGGTGAAGTAAAAGTGGCGCCTTAAAAACCATAAATTCTTTCGCCATTCAAAAGTTTGAGTTTTTACACGTCTTTACTGAGTAATTGTTCTTAAGTTATAGTATCATCACTTTTGACGTATTTCTCGTAGTTTTGTCGTTCATGGTTTATCCGGCTGGCAGTTTGGCACATTCAAGTTCAGTTGTAGGAATCCGATACGCAAATAAGTGGGCCCATTCCTTGGCGCAAGGGATTTCTCTTCGTCTTTATAGCTTATAGTGGCGCGGTACTTATCAGAGCTTACAAGTCACGCGGTTAACGTCGCGGCCACCACGTAAACAGATAATGTAAACATGGGTCAACCGAGAGCGAAGTGCGCTCAGAGCGCCTTGGGGCAACTCGCCAGACCGGTAGAGAAAGAGGGGGAGGGGGCGCGTCAGCCAATACTTTCTTGCTCCCTGGCCCACGTGGAATAGCTCGGTCTGTTCCAATTCACGCGTGGTTACAGTTCAAAAGTTCCAGGTTATTTTTTTTTTAATGGAATAAGTATTTTCTATTTTTGTTTGGCTAAGGGAAACGTTAAAAATTCTTGTTCATTGCAGCACTAACCCATGTTTAGAGAAATGAAGTGATCATAGCGTCATAACGATGGTGTGGTGCTATTACGGTTGCTCACAAGAAAGCTTGGTGGCTCTATAATTAATATCCTAGTAACTTAATTATCCTTCTGTACTTGTTTTGGTTGCGCTAAACAAGTGTTTGGTGGGTGGGTCACCGGTAAAGTGCTGATTGTTGCGTTGTGATTATTGTGGAGATGCAACAAGAGTGGTCGTGGTGACATGGCGCTCTCCTCTGCGTGTCTATGGGTGTACGGTATAAGTGACCCTAACGGGTTCGTTTTTAGCAGATACATTTATAACTGAAACTTTTTTTTTTAAATACTGTTGATGTTGACATAATGAGAGGGGTGGACGGGGTCGTGCGCATGAGCCAGCATGAGTGCGCGGAGCAGGAGACGAGGGCACAAACTCGAATTTACCGGTTCGCTCGTTTTATAACATGATTTGGGTGAGAGTTAGTGAGGGGGCGGAGGAAAGTCGGAGCAGGGGGTATATGCGTGCCCAGCGAGTATATTTGCCTCAAGTGAATGTATGGCACCACTTATTAGAAATATTCAGTTTTGCTAGGCTACACATTGTGATATTAACTTACTTGACATTGTTGGAGCAGAATAGATTTTTTGGACAAGAATAGGGCAGCCAATATTTACAAAAGATTGACAAATCGGGACCTATGACTTTATACGTGCTTGCTGTTCATTGTAATTAAAACGTTTGTGTGTGTGTGTCTGTCTGCAGGTGTTGTGAACCGAGGCGACTCGTTCCGGCGCCGGCGGTCCCGAAGCAACTCCTTGCTGCCCGCGGATGCCACGCCGCTGCTCAGATCGCCCGCCGCCCCTGCTGCCCCGACCATTCCCACCGTCTCCGACCACGACTCCTACCGCGTGGCCATGCTGGGCGCGCGCGGCGTCGGGAAATCAGCCCTCATTTCCCAGTTTATGACGTCTGAGTGCATCAACGCCTATGACAGGCAGAGAGGTGAGTGAGTTAGTATAGGATACGTGGATGAATTTTGCTGTACTTTTCTGAAACAACATTCTGTGAAAAATGCCCTGTTTCAGACATACCCAAGGAGCAATCTGTATCAATCATGCTAAACGGGGAGGAGTCAGAGCTGCAGTTCATTAACATAAGCAATACAAAGGTGAGTCTTTTTTTTTTTTTGTAGTCTACAAAAACCGTTTGGAGTAAAAAGTTGACATTCTAAACTGTAATAACTTAAGTTGGGCAGATTGATGCACGCCCGATCAAGTCCGTCATGACGGGCTACGTCATATATTTATTTTCCAAATGGAAAATAAGCTATGCGGTACAATAATTCTGGCGTTTGGCGATTCAAAGCGACCCTCATAATTTAAGGTTACAGTTTAGTTTTACCTGGTGGCTGAATCGCCCGTCGTCACTGCCGTATGAGTAGACTGCACCAACTGCGCGCGGGCGCGTTGCCTAATCGCTCGACCCCCAGAGCGCTATCCTGAGAGGAAATAGGCCAAGCCGCGCTGCATCACCTTGTTTTTCAGTATATTGATGCCTGGCCTGTTCACTGCTAAACACTACACGTATAGATCATTGAAACAACGACAGTCTTCTAAAAGCGGTGCATCCGAAAAGGAAACGCGCGACGCGCTGATTTGATTTGAGTAGTGGGCGCATTGTAAGCGCGAAGAGCCACGATTTACACCGGAACACAGCTTAATTTGCTATTCTTTCCATGTGTTTTAGGAGCTGGAGAATGGAGAACCTTGTGCAGCACTAGTCATGATGTATTCCGTGGTAGATAAGGCTTCGTTCCAAAAAGCTGAGCAAGACCTACAACGTTTGCAAGAAATTGGCATGCTTCGAAACCGAGCAGTAATAATGGTGGGCACCAAGGTGGACCTAGCAAGAAGTAGAGCCATCTCAACCCAAGGTACGCTGTTCTCTTACAAAAGAAAAATCATGGTTTTTGACTTGACTCTAATTCGACACTTTAAACTAAAACGCACGATGTTGAGCCTAGCTGCTGGACACTCACGCAGTAGGGTCTGAACTGCGTGGCTATAAAAACGCGCCGCTCGTATGCAAAAGGATCCAGCAGCTCGGCTCGACTGCGTGCGTTTTAGTTAAATTAATATGTCAAATTTAGTCTACGATTTATTTGTTTTACAGAAAGTTAGACCAGGTATGTAACTTCTAATGGGTGTCTTTCTCCTTTCTTTGTTAACAGATGGAAAATGCCTTGCGTGCACCTACAAGGTGAAGTTTATTGAGATCTCTGTGGGAATCAACCACAACGTCGACGAGCTCCTTGTCGGCATCCTCAGCCAAATTCGTCTCAAGGCTACCTTGACGGAAAGGGAGGGCGGTGCCCATTGGTACAAGAACAGAGGAGTGGTGAGGGCATCAATGAAGGCTAGGCAAATGTTTACCTGGATATTTGGAAAAGAAGACAGCAAATTCAAAAACTGTGAAAACCTCAATGTGGCCTAGGATTTTAATTTCACAAATGTTAATATATATATGTTTTTAAAAATTACCAAAAACTAGAGAGTGATTTGAGATGCTGAGAAGTTATTTTCAAAGTATTAAAAGCATAACGAAGCAAATTAGTTTACCAATTAAAACTATGGGGACAAATCTAAAGATAGAGTAAGTCATGGCATGGTTGCTTATGCCATACAGTCCGCGACGTAAACAAACATAAAAATCAAATCTATGAAGTGAAATGTGGAAATCGTGTTATGTAGGAATCATTTCGCGAATACTCTCGTACGGACATTCGTATTTTTGATGCATCATGTGTGCTGAAAGCACCAACATCCAGAAAAGCGTTTACTTGATTTATTCAATAATTTATTCAGGATTCAAGAACAATGCGCTCGTCTTGAGAGCATTTTGATTGTAGCCAGTAAAAAAACAAGCAGAGTCCTCAAATAAATCAAGTACATGACAAATCAAGTCCATCGTGCTTATATTTTGATTGCACTGAGAATCGACGCGATATCAAATCGATATTAAAATAATTTCAAATAAGAAATGTGTCGGTTTGAGGATCTTCTCATTATCGATTCGACACGAAAATCGACAATATTCTCACTGAGTTTCGTTTTAAAGATGAAGTATTCGTATTTTTGTGCGCGATAGATTTTGCCCTTTATGTTCAAGTGTGTGACAAAAGACAATGAATATAATGGCTACGATAAATGTCAATCGTGTTATACAAAAAAACAGGGTGAGTGTTTTAAGCTGGATTTTTTTTGGTATACTGTACCATACCGAGTAGGTAACACGTAAGGCGCCGTGGACAGGTACGGTACAGTCTAAACTACAGAAGTGCGCGGGGTTAATCAGCCACCTGGTATGTAAGCATCTCAGAATTATTTTTTTTCTTTGGTTATTCAAGCCCATTTGCATTAGCAAATTTGAGGCTATGATGCATCTATTGTTCAGTGGTTCAGCTTTTCTCCTTTCTTCATTATTGGGATCGCCTTGAGAGTTTTCCCTAGATTCATTAGGGGAATTGCTGGAGCTTAGCGCCTGCGAGACTCGGGGTAGGCCAGCCCGCGATACATGCCTGTACTGAGGGCAAGATATTGCCTACCTACCAGGCGCTACGGGAGCTCTTCTTAACGGCTAGAGACTTTGAAATTTTTTAACGGCGAATGACGGACGTACTTTTTTTTGACGATCCTTTAGTTAATCGAGCCATAAAACGCCTCAAGCAATCTATGCATACTGCTTGGATTAACCATACACACAGAGGCCTCGGCTCCCACCACGGACCACGGTGCCTTAACGGCCCGGGCCCGTGCACGTTCGCAGCCTGTCCACACACCTGCATGTGGTACAGAATAACCAGAAAAAAAAACGGCGTTGAACACCCACCCTGCAGAAATCACCTATTTTGCTTCTCGGGGTTCATGGAACTCTATTATTCTAATTGAAACTGGAAACTTTACGACTTACTCGGCATACTGAACTACAAGATAGCTTATTCGATTTAAACCACAAAAAGTGAACGTGCCATGTCAAATGAGGGTTTCCAAAATGTGTCACGCTAGGGCGACATACCAAAATGTGCGCCCCTGTTGCTGTTTGTACATATATACATGTTAGTGTGTCTTTGTTGTGATGCTGATCTTCAAGTATCTCATAACATATTAGAAAGTTATTTTTGTATCCCCAAATCTTAAGAATCTGCCAGACCAGAATTTTGCAAACATCTACTGACCAAAATCGAAGCTTATCCTGTAAGGACATAAAATGAACTTGTTATATTTTGGTTGTTCGTTGAACTTTTCTTTTAAACTACGGCAGTCTCTGAAGACAATTTATAAATATCATATTTTGTTATCTATTGCAGTAATTGTTAGGCCTACAACGAACTGGATCTCTTCTGACATGTTCCGGAAAAACCTACTAAAACCTGGGTGATTTTTTTGAATTTATGTAGGGTTCAGAACAGGTACGTCATAAATTCCTGTCTGAAAACTACTGTATGCGTTGCACGCTGGAAAAGTAACTTACGTTTGATCACTTAATGTGAGAGGCCGTTTAGGGAACGGTCTGCTGCATAACATTTTAATTTAATTGAAAATATTGAAAATGTTATTTTGGAGCTCTATTCCTCGACCTCTTTCTTTGGTACAAAACTTCCAAGCTGACCAGCGGTTGCGTGAATATGTGACTTGCCCTGTATTGGTCCCGCGCGATAATAAAACTTATGTGTTCTAAAAACACGCGTTTGACGATACCTTCTAGGTGGTCCTTTGGTTCATGGCGTAACATTCCTTAGGCCCTGCAGGCCCAATTTTATTTAACGGTGTAGTCGGACACTCCTCCCAAAAATGAATGCACTTGTCCCATTGTCAGCTTCTGAAAATGTTCTCCTATAAACGTTCCCCGGCGGGTTGGAATGAGCCTCTACATTGGGATTTTAAGAGCTGGCCGTTGGCAGTGCCTTGTAGGTGCTACCAGCATTGGGCAGGCTAAATTAAAGAGGGTGACCACGTTCATTGTGGGGACACCTTTACCCCGCTGCTTATTTCACTTCACCCCGGAATAAACGTGTTAGAAGTATACCGGGTACAATCACTCACTGACGGACGATTATGTACACATTTCTTTATGCCCTTTGAATCCATGTGCATGATAAGTCGATGGACATAACAGAAGGTGTGCAATTTAAACTGACCTGGTGTCGAGGCTAAGACAGTACGTTGGGCTGCCTATGAACTGACTGCGGGCAGGTGCGGGGCTTGTGGCGAGGGAGTCTCCCCACCACCAGTACGTTGGGCTGCCTATACACTGGCGGGCTGCAGGCGCGGGGTGGGTAGCGGGGAAGTGGCAGCTAGCCCATTGCTCTCCCTCCACCCGCCCGCGCCTGCACCCCCTTCAGCCGGTGCATAGGCAACCCAACTTACTGGCATGTCTTAGCCTGGACACCCGGTACCATTAAAGTGTCGCCGTGGTGGGCCGGGATCGTCCCACAGACGCCTGCCAGTGTGGCACTGCCGGTACGAATGGCAAACAGATCAGCGGAAGGTCCCATGGAGACAACCTAGATCTATCCATTTTTGTACGGGACTCCGTGGACATTGTCTAGGGGAACAGTTCATAAAGACGAGGGGGCAACGCGCTTTCTCGCGGCGTATCACCCTTAATATAGGGATTTAGCTACGTCCCATTAGGGAAAGTTATTGCCACAGGGAAAGTTTTACTATGGAGGGATCTTCGGCCGTCTACGTATTTATACAATTGGATTCGCACACTGTTGGGCATGTTGTCTTATCATAAGTGATAAACTTCTGTTCGGAATATGTAAAGCAGCCATTTGACTTCCCATTGTGACAATAAGAGCCCTAATTTTTTAAAAAAATCGGGTACTATAGCGTTGAGTCAAACGGTCTATTTTCAAATTCTGAGAATAGTACCTTTAGGTAGCTTCCTTACCAGCGAGATACGAGTGAGAATCCCCTATCTTCCATTTTATCGTACCATAATAGCATTGTGTGACCTTAGATTGTTGTCCATGAATGTTCTGGTCTTTTCCAAAAATAAACGTCTTGTATACAGAAACACTGCTGTTTTATTCTTTCATTTTTAAGGAATGATTCGGGGTCTAGACCAAGTCGATCCTGTGGCTGCACTTTCTTCCCCTTCTTTCTGCAACTATTGCTGTATCCGCTTGCCCGAGTGCTGTCGGAGAAGCACTGAGGATTGTCTGTTTCCCTCTGTGGCCGCCGTTCTTGTTTCTTAAGAGGAATCGTAGTATGTCTGGGACACCCTGGTAAGCTTTCCCATGTCTTGAGAAAGTATTCATCACAAAAATTAAAACTTTCCTAACTTTATTTTTCAATTCAGTTGTACAAGGGGGTGAAATTTCCATCTTCGAGTAAGAGCGAAAGCGGAAATCGGATGAGGTCACAAAGGAATGCAATCGCGATAAGTTGCACGTTATTGAGATTGATTCGAATTGCGCTGAGTAGGGATTGCTAGACAGATCTCCTTGTCTCTTCTTGCACTTTCTTTGTGGGATATATCCGCAAGACATGGAAAAACCTGTCCGAGCCGAATGTTTGTTGCCTTTATTCGAAATCTCCTTTTCTCACCATTTTCATTTTATCAGTCATGCGAGTTGAAGTCATATACACGAAGAATTTTATACAATGGTAATCAATATAATAATATGTATTTATAAAGATAGCGTTATGAGTAAAAGTGCTCTGGACGTAACGTACAATGATAAAAATATGGACAGCGTTTTGGTCGGTGGTGCAGCTACTGGTTTCTGCCGTTGCTGTCCGAAGACCATGCCCTGTGGGATGGTCTGGTAGAACGCGTGTAGGCTCCTGTGCCTATCGGAACAAAAATGAAAGCAAGCGTTAGTTACTTTTACAAAAATAATGTATGTGACAAAAATTATCAAGTGTAAACGGTTTACCTTGAGAATGGTCGGACAATTTATTCCTCTTCCTCCTCTTCCTCTTCCTCCTCCTCTTCCTCTTCTTCCTCCTCCTCAGCGGCCTCCTCCTCCTCCTCTTCCTCCTCTTCTTCCTCCTCCTCTGCGGCACCCGCAGGCTCGTCTAGGTCTTCATCGGCGCCTCCCTTCAGCTCCTCCTCCTCGGGGCTGTCTGGGGCGCCCTTCTTCTTGCCGGGCCTCTCGCCGAACCACTTGGGCAGCTTGGCTATCGGGGAAACGCAATATTAGATTCCAGAGGGAACGATTTTACGACAATAATATTAATTTGATATTGCGCCAGTGACGAACATCGTTGTCGATTCGTCAAATAGAAGTAAACAACGAATTCACATCGATTTGTGAGCCGATGCCAAAATGTTAGTTATTCGAGTTTAGGACATTTAATTACAATTAAAATCTCAAACAGTTAGTAAGCTTAACACAAAATCAAGAGAAACGCCTGATCGGCGCGAATATGAAACCACTCCAGCTCAAAGAAATTACAATTATGTTAAAATGGTATCACAAAAACACAGAAAATTTTTGGATGTGTGCCATATCTACGAGCGAAAGAAAGTATAACTATAGATTTAAACCGAGGAAATGCACTCCGAAATCCTTTGTGTGAAACAGTCTCACACGTTTAGGTGCACTAACGAAAGGTCCTCCATCGTTTGGTACAGTGTGTCGTACACGTACAAGTGTGATGTGTGATACACGGTGCATCCGACACCGAAAGTATCAGGGCACAGTAGCTGTCGAAAGCACTGTTTTACGGCAATAGGTGAACGACACAAGTGCCTCACTCCAAATGGTGTAGCACACTTCAGCACAACATCAAAACACGTGAGCTATCTCGCACAAAGGATTTCAGAGTATGGCGTCATTTTGAAGATTTTTAGTCACAAAAGATTAATACTCAGATTGATAGAAGAAAAAAGACTTTTGAAGAAAACAAGAAATTTATAGAAAGCACTCAAATACTGCGTTGTTTTTTTAATCTACATTTGAGACCAGGTCTCGACTTACACGCGGCGCGACCGTCAAACTCTTTCAATCGCTCGGACCAGACCTTCTCCATAGTTTCTTTGGTCAAGTCCTCAAGGCCCTGTGGATGCAGCAATCAACAGGGTAAGGCGGGGGCACTCACATAATGCAACGGAGCAAGACACGGGAAACGGGGAGAGGGGGAGAGGGCGCCTCACTCGTGCTTGAGTATTGTGGCATCTGACAATTCATGCTGAGGGACGAACTACGGGTTCCACACCAGGGCCTATGAAAAGGGAAGAGTGCGGGAATATTGGCCTATTTACAACTTGTCGGAGGGGGAGTAAAGGGGCAGGCATTTAGTCAGTTCCACCCAGAAAGCCACAATATTTTGCAGTGAAGCCACATGACGTCGTCCGGGACGGATCTGGACCCTACTTACAGGCTGTGCGCTTCTCAAATTGTTCCATCTGTTCTTTCCACAGTTTTTCCTTCTGCTCCTGTGTAAGGGTTTCCCAACCCTGCGTAGGTGCACACATGACAGACACATGAGTAAAGAGCATCAAGTCTATGTACACTATGCGGGCTGAGGGGCGAGAGCTGTCCAAACGGCCCAAGACCCCAACATAACACAGGAAAGGGGCAACACTTCACTGCACTTTGTACAACGGTACGATCATTCCAAGACATTCCGTGGGGAAAGCCAAACAATAGGCCATGAAAGAGCAGCGGCTCGGGAACCTTTCTCCTTTACTTACTAGGTGTTCGGTTCGTAAACTGGTCAGTACGATCTTTCCAAATTTTGTCCCACTGCTCTTGACTTTGAACTTCCCAACCCTGTACCACAAGACATAAAATTGAGAACGGGTTTGTGACCGCACTGCGCAATCCGTTTCACGGGGAATATCAGGCTAGGGGAACTAATGGAGTCGCACATACAGGGTTTACAAGACAAGGTAAGACTTTCATCCAGTGCAAATACGGGGTATCTTCAGCAGGCTATGTCGAACGATAAGGGCTTTTTAACAATGGACCGATCACAAGGCGCAGTCTAAACATCAAGACTAATGCAAGGGCACGATCCCTACTCACTTTTTCTTCGTTTTAAGAACATTTCATTTCTATCCTTCCATATAGCTTCAAATTGCTCCGCACTGATGGTCTCCCAACCCTAAGCCGTACAGAATTTATAAAACGAAGTAGAAGATCACAACAAAAAGGAACCGACGTTTTCATACCTATCTCTTTTCGTCCGACGGAACTCAGAGGAGAAAATAATAGCATACTTTTAGTATACGAAAAGGGGAAATGGAAAATATACGTACGCCTTCAAAGAGCTTCTTCTTATCCTCGTATGACCGGGTATCCACTCTGCGTTCATATTTAGATGCTACTTGGATCATGGGCTAAAAACAAAACAGAAAATGAAATTGTCAATACTTGGGCTTTTAAAACCCAATAAAAACACTAACACCGGGTGTTTTTTTGCAAGCGTCGAAGTGATGTGGGATTGCATACTCGCTCGGGCTGAAGGGCCTATAGTGTCTTAGATGGGGAGGAGCGGGCAGCAAGCCTTCATGCACCAGCGCGTACTAAGAAACCACCCGGTACAGGGGAGCGCCTGGCAGCCGCACGATGCCACCTGCCCACAACTATGTGGGGCAGTTTGCCTAGGCACCAATTCTATGGGCTCTAAGCTGCACGTCTGTTACTTACGGGGTACTTTCCGGTGAGGGCCTCAGGGTCCAGACCCTTCTTCAGGGCCTTGTGCCTGAGCTGTTGCTTCTGTCGCTCCTTCAGCTCTTTTAACTGCAAATGATGTACGGCTATTAGTTATCTCGATCTCTACTAATCCAGAGTTATTCAACCCAGCCAGACTGCAATTACTCACGTCATAGTCCTGGCGCTTTTGCCTCTCCTCCAAGTCGTACTTCTCGGTCTCCAGCTTGACAATCTGTTCCCAGAGGTCGGAGGCCTTGAGCTGAAGCTTGTCCACACTCATGTTGTCGAGGACAAGGGGCTTGATGCGGAAGGACAGGGAGATCTTTTTCTCCTCCTCCAACTGCTCCTTGGTCTTGTTACGCTCAATCTGAGCTGATGAGAGGTTGAACTGCAGGGCACAAAATACACATTAAAATCACATGTGCACACGCAGAAGCGTTACAGAAATCAGCACCGGTGGAAACGTACGCCCTCCTTCTTGTTAATGGTGAAGTTGGGGCCCTTGCTCTTGCTCTGCTCCTTGAGGGCGGACATCATGGCCTGACGCTTCTTCTCCGCCTCCTCCAGGCGACGTCTCTTCTCTTCGATGTCGCGCTGCTTCTTCTCTTCAACCTCTCTCTGCCGCCTCTCTTCCTCCTCCTTCTTGCGCTGGGCCATGCGTTTCTCTTCGTCCGCACGCATGATCTGTTACAGAGAGAAACGTTTGTGTAAGCCATACTTAATATGTGTGCTGTTAAGATACGGCAGACAGGCAAGTGACAACTCACCTTGCGCTTAGCTTGCTTCTCCTTGAGCCTCTTCAACTCATCCTCCTCCTTTGCCCTCTGTTTGCGCCATTCTGTGATGTACTCCTTCAGCTGTTCATCGAGAGCAGAGCTCTTCTGTTCCTGGCGCTGTAACACGATGGGCAATGTCAACAAAACGTAAAGTAATAAATAAAAGGAATTCCAAAACAAAAGCGTACCTTGACGAACTCGGGGTCTCCCTGTTTTTCATCTCCTCTGTGGCACGAAAAAAAAGAAAGAAGAGTTAGTGTGTGGACATAAAGTCAAACGTGTCGGGACCTACTGTAAATATCTTGTTTAGCACAAAGGACAGAAAAGGTTTACAAATGTAATTGTAAAGATGCCATTTCAAAAAAAATATAGTGGTATTCTTGATCTATTACAAGGCAAAAAGGGGGTTATATTTAGGGCATTGTAAAAATTCTTGCAGAAAGTGCAAAACTGTATTTCAGTAAAATAATTTCAAGAGTTTGTACGTGCTATAAAACAAGAACGGATCAAGCATTTTAAATAAGAAGTTTTAAAATTAAGACAGTAGCACTCTGTCACTGTTCAAAGTTAAAATACAAGTAGGACATATAGTCGAATCAAACACGCAAAAACTACAAAACAAGCAGTAATAGCAAAATGAAAAGCAGGCCACCATTTTAAAACATATTTTAAACCATTTTTAAAAAATACAACACTGATGACAGCATTGAACCCTCTTTGAAAAGTAAATTATTGGGGAGGCCAGGTAAAGCTGCTGAAAAATGTCTAGTTATAGATAGTCTGCCTAGTCTACAAGTCTAATTTAAGAGGACTGATTGAAATCTGATTCTGATTTCAAGCTACTAAACATAGAATGTCCAAACATCAGTAATGACGAAATCAACAAAACTGCCGAAAATCCAGCCGAACCCTGCTCAACGGGTTGGTCGGTTAGGTTTGTTGTGTGCGGCTAGAATGAATAAAGCAATCGAAAACTCGTGCGGACTAAATAGAAGGTATGAAGGATCAAATAAGGCCTTACAGCCGAGTGCATTGGTTAGTGATAAAGCAAGGTTGGGTACGGTGAAAGGTATGAGCAGAAAAAAAGCTTGGGCATACGCCTCTTTACTGGCTGCACTCGTATTCGAGTTTGACCTCAACATGCTGAAATTTAAATCCCGTTTACGAAAACACTAATTTAAATTGAACGAATTGTCAACAACCTAGCAGACTGACCTAGTTTCTTAAATGTGGACGTCATCTTAAAAGCAATGAATTCAGGGGAAAGCGAACACACGTTTCTTTACGACACGAAGAAAGCGACACTGGTTACAGCTCACAGGTAAATCCAGATTGCTCAACGGTCCAGTTGTCATCCTTCCAAAACGGTAACAAAAGGCGACACCAAGTAGTCACAAAAACTGCACACATGATGTCGAATGACGAATTATTGATCGTATTGAATATGAATAGATATTCAACACAAAAATGAATCCAAAAACTATGAGCTGATCTGCTTGTTAAAACGAATTGACTTTGATGAAAAATGGAAACGAGTAGCTGAAAATATATATGAACACACATAACAAACCCACAGCAACATTTATATTCACACAATTGTGTGAAAATGATTACCTGAGCGATTGCCTAGGCTTACTGCTACTCGGAAAGAAACAAAAAACAAGAAAATGGGATAAGTAAAACGAGCTTGATGTTCAAAAGGCTACAATGGCCAATAGCGTTTTGACGCTTTTTTCAAAAGAGAAAGTCGACTTGTTTTGAGTTATGGTGAAAACATGAACGTCCCTATACCCCATCCCACTTGTGGACCTATCTAGCCATTGTCGGCCTCAAGCCCACCGAGAAAAGTATTTGAGGGTATTTTGGGTGGAAATGGAAAAGGATAAGAGCGGAGCAGGCAAAAGGCAGAAAAGAGAGCGGAGCGGTTCTGACACGGCCAGCTAGTGCGTTACGTGACTCGTCTACGCGCAGCTACTTGGTGCTAATTACAAAACGAAAAAATAATAATGCTACCAAAATTACTCTACGTACAAGTACTACTTGCCAAAATAACCAAAAAAGCTCAAAGGTCAAGCGAAACATAAAATTATACGCTTGTGAAAAAATATACTCGGTTCGACCATTGTCAAATTAATAATTATTCACAGAGTAGAATTACAAAACATAACGATGCTTTTATTTTTGAACAGGGCAAATGAAACAGCAAACTCTTCCGTGGTTTGCTTAAATTAGCCATCAGCACACCTTGCATTTACAAGGAAAGGCTCCCTTTAATCCAAAAGTTACTAGTTCCACAGAACACTGTAAATCCACCCGGGCGTTTCACAGGTACCCTACTAACGACGTATTCACTATCCCATGCAAATGCAACAGTAATACGAACAGTGGTGATAGGGTAGTCGGCTTAGTCACCTGACCCCAAAAACCCGGCGACGGGGGTCAGCTACCTGCTGGACAGGACACTTAGTCGAGCAACTGTACGGTATGAACCATGAACCCGCGAGCGTTGAGTCAATTCCAACCATGTAGGTATGTAGGGACCTGGCAGACCAGATATCCCGCAAGAGGCTGCATTCAGGGAACGTCCAGAAAATACACAGATTTGATTCGACAATTTATGGGCGCTCGGCGCCTGCGAGACTCAAGGTAGGCCAGCCCGCAGTACACGAATGCACTGCAGGCAAGATTTTGCCTACCTATCAGGCCACAAAGGAGAGCTCACAAAGGCTAGGGCCTGGCCGCTAGGCTTAATTTGGCAGTTTCGAAACGAAATGACTGACGTGCTTTCTGGAAAATATCCAAATCACCGGGTGTTTGGAGTCAGGTGACTTATTCGCCTTGCCGGACACCCGAAATTCACAAACACAGTGTATTTACAGTCTCTTTGGAACTTGATTGCACACAACTACTTTCAGATACTTATTTTACTTTTCCGAGATTTCAAACTATTATTACCTATTGCTGGTTGAACAAACTTCTACACACGAGTTAAAAAAAGTCGTTTATAGCACCTGAGTTCACGAGTTAAGAGCAAACGGATTGGCACTTTTCAGTGTTACGAGCGAAAACGTTTAATGAAGCACATTGGTCGAAGAGCTGCGACGTAAAAAAAGAAAAAAACAAAAACAATATTGCTTAGGGACTTACTCTTGCTTCCTTACGGGTTCAGGTTCCTGTTCCCTTTAGAGATAGAAGGAGGAAGGAGATCAGGAGGGCAGAACAGAAAATATAAGAAAACAAGAATTTTAACATCAAGGTAGCAGGGGATCTAAACAACAATCCTGTCGCCTTAAGCTGTACAGTTACTTTTGCTACACTTGTGGTTCCTACAAGAATCGGACAGAAGTCTTACAGATAGTGAGGAGAAATGGAAAGGACAGACAATAGGCGTGGAAAATTTGATAGAACTGGAAGATACGGGTGTAGGATTTTTTTCGTACTTTAGGAAATTACATTGTAACGGTTGAAGGTTTTGGTTAACTTTCTTTACATACTTATATGGTTGCGTGAAATGCGAACCTTTTTTTTGTTATTTTTCTTTGAAACGCATAATGCTTTCATTTTGGGAAACCTTTCATATTTCCACCACAACGTAAAAAATACACACGTTATATCTACGATCTACTTTAATACAATACGTTTTACGGCGTTCTTTTCTGTTACATTTATCAAACCAAACTCACAATTTAGGATGTAAGCCAGCAGCCTTGAACAGAAAGAGAACGTAGAAAAATGTCGTTTGACGGGTTAGAGGCAAGCTCAGTCCCCTCACATAAGTCTAAAGTAATTAAAATTTTATGATTTTTTTTTCACCGACAGTGGTTGAAAAAATTTAGTGTCATCGACACATTTTTAAAGTTCCAAGTTTTTCAATTACTTTGAGCCGAACTGAACTCGGCTTTTACGTCACTGTTACCATGAGTTGAGAAGTTAGCTTCCACAGACGTTTGAGGGGTACATACCTCCTATGTTGGGGGAAAAAGAGAGAGAGAAGAGAAAGATATTAGAGATAGGACAAGAGAAGAATATATACAGTATAAGTATAGATACAATAACCGCAACTTTACGTCAATGCAGTCGAAATCGTTCTCGTGAATTTGTGAAAGTTTTAACACAAACACACTAGACCAAGTTGTCTGCCTGCTTATTGAGTAAAGCATCGGTCCAATTATGAGCGTTTCTATTTCATCAAGGCTAGAAGAATAATTAACTTAATTATTTAAATAAGCAAAGTAAGCATTGTTGTACAATAAATCATAAGAACTTAAAGTTCAAATTTTAAATTTAGGAATGATTTACAAGATTATGCAAAGCGGATGCATTGAACAAAGTTACAACACGGCGGACACTTGGGCCTGTGATTTGAAGAGCCAATGTCAATGCCAGTTTTTCTGAGGCAGGACAGAGTCCACATCAAATACACATCAAAAGTTCGTCAGCCGAATGTGTCTTGGCTCATATTTAACTACCTATAACCTATTTCATCGTATAAAATTAATACAAAGCTATAGATGTCTTTTTACTACACTTACACTTCTTCTTCTTCCTCCTCCTCCTCACTGCAAAGTAGAAAAACAAACACAGAATGCAATTAAGTGGAATGCACAAAAACGAATGACATGTAGGGACGGAAGGGAAACTTGCAAGAAGACAATATGTCACGGACGTGCGTTCAGACGCATGCCGGCATTCAAGTACATGACAAGGATAAGGGATGGCGCTGGGATGAGAAAGACCGTCAAAAATGCCAAAAATGTCAAAAAAGAAAGTTTAAAACGAGGGAGCCTCAACTTTGACAATCTCCGGTAATCTTCAGCAGTATTCAAGTAAGATAATCTAAGGGTCATGTGTTTTTTTGCCTTAGTTGGCAGTAGTGCGTTTTACCTCATTTAAAATCAAAAGCTAAGATATTCCTCAAACAATCTGTAAATTTTGCCAATCTAGTGTACTCGAAGAGATAAGTTGACGTCTCACCCAGTTTAAATTTACTTTCACTGATCGGTAATATAATTTCCAATATATACTTACGAGTATTGTTCCTCGTCGTCAGACATGATTGAAGGGGGTTAAACTGTAAAAGACAGAAATATTTTTTTTTATTTATCTATATATAATGAGGGTCAGAAAAAAAGTGGAGGAAACCGCACGAGCAAAGGAAAAAGATATCGCCAGCCCTCGCGCCAGCCTTAGCCTGAAGGGCGAAATACCCACTGAAGTGAAGCCTATCCTTGAATCGCTACGACCCTATCAGAAAAAAAACTATCGTAGCATGCAGGTCATTAGGTTTTGCCAACGCTGATAACTGACCAAACAAATTTTCTTGCGTTTTCTTAGTTTTCTTTTCTCACTTTGCTCCTGGCGGTTCCACTTTTAGCCCGCCCGCAGTCGGCAGCGCTGGTGCTTCTCAACCCTAATTTAGCCTCGGCCCGTGGCGCCACGCAGCGCCACGCCCCGCCGCCACACCCCGCCACGCCCCGCCACGCCCTCCGCGCCGCACCGCGCCACGCCCGGTCAGTCGGTCCGCATTCAGCCCGCCCTTATACAGTCGGGCAGAAACATGATCGGTCCCGAGCATGTCCCGTCTTTCGGCCTGCATTGCCTGGCCTAGGGCTGGGCTGGACGCGCGCGACGGCTAGCCGCGGCTGGTCCGGTCCAGGCAGCACTCGGCTGTCACGGCGAGTCGGGCAGCGCGCCCGGAGCACACGGCGGAGGCGGCGGCGACGGCCGGCACGACACACGCAACACGCGAAGCACAGCCACTCCCAGCACGATCCACCAATCCACAGGTGTAAAGTCCAGGCGTAGGGGTAGAAGAAGTAGTATGGCGGTAGCAGTAGAAGCACCAACAGCGGTAGAAGTAGTGGTAGAAGAACAGCGAAAGTGACAGCGGTAGAAGAGGCACGGCCGCCACTTGCTCCACTCGGAACACTGCTGCACAACACTTACACTGAAGGCTCAACACTAGAGAGGGGCACACGCGGTCCGGCGGTGTTCCGACGAGGGAGTGCGAGGAGACAGAGATCCGGGACCGCGTCTGACCCCCCTCGGAATGTGCCGGTGGAGGGGAGGGCCCCGCCGGCCCCCGCCGGCCCCCGCGCGGCCGCGCCCC